TTAAATTATAACACACTCTCTAAGGTTTAAATTATAACACACTCTCTTGGTTTCATTGCTTATTTTCTACTATTTTAACATACTAATTAAAAAGTTTTGCTCATTTTTAAACCTTTATTTCATAGAAATCAGCAATTTTAATAATTTCTTCCCTGAGATGCTTTGAAATTCTAATTAGTTTGTCTATGTTTGTCTTTTGGTCCCTAGGACATCTGGTTTTGCATAGAAAACAAAACCAATTTAGAAATATCAAGTGTTCCCCGTTGTTTAAATACTTACAAGTTGAACTATCGTAATTATCAAACATGTAGCAGCTGAAGTACTGACTGGGGTGGGGGTGGGGTCCTCCAAAGTCTCTCTCCTTCCTTGGAGCTGTGTCCATGTTAGTGCATTTGTCCCTGGGACCTGGTGCCTGATTTGCTTGCTGGTGGGGTTTGCGGGGCTAAGTTTTAAATGCCACTTCCGGAAGTAGTCCCCTTGCTTCCGCCCATTGTATTTTGGGTTTATCATATGTGCTTGCAGGAAAGTAAGGGCGCCCAGGACACAGGGTGATTCCCTCTTATATGTGTCTTCCCAGCTGGGAGCAAGGTTCCTTCAGAGGGAACAGAATCTCTTGTCTGAGGCTTCTCTGTGAGGCTATTGTGCTTCTTGGGGAGTTCTCTTTGATACCTCTGCCCTGATGGACTAGAGAAAGCAAGTACCTCTTATCTCCACCGCCTTTATGATTAGGCCCCCACAGGAGTTCTAAACTAAAAGGAAGGGCCAGATGGCAATAAGGAAGAGACAGAGACAAAAAAGGGGGGGCAGGAGTGTGGAGGGAAAAAATGTGTACACTGGAAAACAGATTCTGATGACCACTCCATTACTGATGTTCTAAGAGTTGCCCTGCATCAGCAAGAGGCTGCCCAGTACAGTACTCAGATAAGCCAGTGGACAATCAGCCAAACAAAAACAGATCCAGACTCTGGGACCCAGGGAGGACTCTTACACATCTATCTAAGGAGGTGACACAGACAGCTGGACACAAAGGCATCTTCTGGCCCTTGGCACTGATCCTGATGAATCCTCTGATGGGATGGGATCATCTATGGGCGTCTCACTCTGAGTGCCTAGACACAAAGCACAGCTCTTGTTTCAAAGTGTATAAGGCATAGCTTATTGTGAGCCCAGTGTGAGTGACCGTGCCCAGGAAATATGGACTCAGGTTACACAAAGTAAAATTTCACTTATGGAAGGAGTTATGCAAACTTTCAGTCATAGAACAGAAGACAGTCAGAAATTCACGTATTTACTGAGTGTATCAGTGAGAACCTCAGGTAGGTGGGTTAAAGTCAAGCAGTACAATCTCTGCTACAGGTTTCAGGTTCTGTCTAGTGAGAGTCTTAGCTCCTGGGCTAGTGGAAGCTTGTGTTCTTTGAAGTCAAGACATTCCAAAGGTCTTACTTCATAGTAGAAAGGATGTTAGGTATCCTATCCAGGGGACTAAAGATAGCTCAAGATAAGTTTAGCTCTGCATCATTCCAAATCTAAAGTTCCAACTGGTTAGTCAGCTGTGGTTTTTCAGAATCCTTCAGCTCACACCTTTGATGATGAGTCTATGGCGGAACCTGTCTGTATATCAGAAATTTTTTGCCCCCAAGTAAATCTTGATCCCTGATGCAAGATGGTTCTGTGCTTTGGTTGGTAGTCCTGTGTGGTGGGAAAGGGGTTGTGTGGATGGCACTGGAGAGGCCATGCCCACCTTGGGTGGGAAGAGTCCAGCTGCACTCACCCATGCTAGCCTAAGACTGACTGTTGCCTGCTGCCTTTCTTCTGTGCTCTTGCTGTCAGTATTACAGGTGGGAGAAGGCCCATATCCCTGTCTGTGGGAGCTTCAGGCAGCTTTGGATGTGGAGGAAGTGGCGAGAAGAAGCTTTCTCTGCAGGATGTAGCTGAGCTGCTTCGGACTAGAGCTTGCAGTAGGGTCGTGGTCATGGTGGGGGCCGGCATCAGCACACCCAGTGGCATCCCGGACTTCAGGTATGCTGCAGTTCCCTTTGATGTCTTCTCCCCACTGTCTTCAGCAGGGCTCAGCCTTTCCCTTCTCTCTACAGATCCCCAGGGAGTGGCCTCTACAGCAACCTTCAGCAATATGACATCCCATACCCTGAGGCCATCTTTGAACTTGGCTTTTTCTTTCACAACCCCAAGCCCTTTTTCACATTGGCCAAGGAACTGTACCCTGGGCACTATAGGCCCAATGTCACTCACTACTTCCTTCGGCTGCTCCATGACAAGGAGCTCCTCCTGCGGCTCTACACACAGAATATCGACGGGCTTGAGAGAGGTGAGCCTTTGGTCCCTTGCATGTCTGTGCTTGTTTCTCAGGACTGTCTCTGGCCTAGTGTTTATGTCGGCCCTGGGACTGTTGCTAGGCAGCTGGTTATGCCTTTACCACTTCTGTGTTTGAGGCCACATGGAAACCTCTCTGTAGGCCTGTCTCCCATACACCTTCTGGGTTCTGAGGTTTAGGTGGAACTAAAATTCATATTATTTTGAATTTAGTGTGGAGCTCTCTCCCTATCTGTCTGTCTCTCTGTCTCTGTAGCTCTTTCTCTCTCCATCTCTCCCTCCCGCCCGCCCTCGCTCCCTCCCTCCCTCCCTCCCTCCCTCAACTCTTTCTTCCCTCCCCTCTTTCTCCATCTTTCCCTCCATCTCTGGCTCCCACCTAGGGAACCCTTTGGTTCTTTCCCTCAGTTTCCATGTGTGACACATGGCCAGGCCTTGTTCTCTGTTCCCTCCACCTGGTCTTTCATCCTCAGATATTTTCAGGCAGATCCCTCACATCATGGTATTGATATAGAAACAATGTCTAGATGTTTATGGATATATTTGGAAGATAGAGCCTTGTTGCAGCATAGCTCTGATGCCATTATACTGAAGAGCCACCAACATTTCAGTGTTGTCCAAGTCAATTAGTGACATCTTGGCTCTATTTCACACCGAGACAGCAATGGTTAGAGTCTGAGTACCCTGAGGGTGGTGCTGCTGCCTCCCCAAGATGCAATATGCAGGCCCATGGCAGAGCAGCCACTCTGCCACTCTGTGGGATGCTGTGGTCTGAAGTAAGACATCACATTTCAGGGATAGGATTCCTGTGAGAAGGAATCTACAGCCCAGAACCAGAGACAGCAGTGACTACCCCAAGTTCCTCCCTAAGCAGAAGAAAAGGTTTTAGGGGGAAGGTAGGAGTTTCTTGGCTTTGGGTTTAAGCACTGCAGTTACCGAAGAGCAGTGATGAACTTCATGGGAACCCATTTGGTGTTGTTGAGAAGGTTCTGCTACAGCCCATGCTCACCTCAGACTTACTCCGTAGCTCAGACTGTCTTGGAACTCTCAGTCTCAGCCTCCCCAGTGCTAGGATTATGTGCTTGTGCCATCATACCCAACTGAGAAGTCCTTTTCTGTTTGCTTATCAGCCGTACAGTTTTTTTGAAATTAGTTTTGTCAAGCCCAGAAGATGTGCTTATGTACTTGCATAGCATCCCAGAGGCTGCAACACTGAGATTTGGTTTGAATTTCAGCATCTGGTATCCCTGCCTCAAAGCTGGTTGAAGCTCATGGGTCCTTTGTATCAGCTACATGCACGGTCTGTCGAAGGTCCTTCCCAGGGGAAGACATATGGGTGAGTCACCTCATGAAATAGTCTCTGCCTTCTGCAGTTCTTGGAGAGTAGAGGATCTTATAATAGTTTGTTTTGTGCTTGTTTATTTGTTTGTTTTAAAACAGGGTGCTCACAGAGGTCTGAAACTCACCAAAATAGCTAGGTTGGCTGGTCAGGCAACCCTAAAGATCCACCCTCAGGATCTCTGCCTTCCCAGTGCTGGGATTACAAGTATACATCACCATACTTGGCTTTGTTTGTTTGTTTGTTTGTTTCAGACAAGGTCTCACTATTGAGACCAGGTTGGCCTGGAACACAGAGAGATCCATCAGCTTCTGTTGAGATTAAGGATGTGCTCCACTATGCCTGGCTCCCAAATTTTTGACTTAAAAAAATAATATATACTTGTAAAAGAACTAAGGCCAGGTTGAGGATGTGACATAGCTCAAAGGAGAAGTGCTTGCCTAGTATACACGGCCCTGGGCTCTATGGCCAGCGCTCCCTCCACCCAAAAAATGCAGGTCAGAAATATACAGGGAAAATGAATTTTCCATGGCAGGCATGGTTGAGCATGCCTTTAATCTCAGCATGTGGGAGCAAGGTGCAGGCAGATCTCTGTGAGTTCCAGACCAACCAGAATTGACCAACCAGACCAGTATGAGATACTGTCCAAAAAAAAAAAAAAAAAAAGAGAGAGAAAAAGAAAAGAAAGAACAAAAAGAGAAATAAAATGAATCTCTCTTTAACCAATCCCTTTTACCTGGCATTCATGATTGGGGGATAATGTAATAGTCTGGCTTTTTAAAACAGAAGATATATGTACATATAAACATGCAGGTATCTATATAGACATACCTCCAAATATTAAAATTAGTTCATTGATTCCTATTAAATTTCTTTTATAACTTCTCTACATTCCTGTTCAGTGTAATAGATATGTCGACATCTGAGACATGTTTACTCCTTTTGTTACTTAATATATAATTTTGCTATTAAAAACACTTCAGGAGGGGATAGGTAGATGGCTCAGTAGGTAAAGTGCTTGCCATCTAAGTGCTAGGCAGGTGTGGCAGCCCACCTGGAATCTCAGGTCCTTAGAACAAGCTAGTATCTATACTAGCTCTGCTAAGCACGAAGATGGAAACAGTGGGAAGCAGTTTCCAGCTCAAATAGCATGACTATTGAGGCGTGTTGAATTCTGGAGGAGACAGAGCTCAGTGACCATTTCAGAGGGGGTATACATGGCTTTGGCTGCTGTGCACAGGATTTACCTGAGGTTGGTCTTTGTGGTCCCTCTTGAAGAGACTGCATGTGTCCTCGGATTGGCTTGTCTAAGTAGGTTCTTATTTCTCATTTTGAGAGCTTTTTGGAAAATAGGGTTAAATTAGGGACAAAGTGAATCTAGTAAGTGATTTCCTGGAATTTGCCCAAGGGCTCATGTCGTCCACATTCATGGTGGTTCTTTCCCACATAGTTAACTCTCTCTAGAAACACCCTGCAGACACTCCCAGAGATGTACTTTACCAATTGTTTAAGTCCTTGAAATCAGTCAGGTTGACAGTGAAGATCACTGGGGCACTGGCTAGCTGGGTGAAGCTGGTAGTTTTCCTTCTTGGTTACTGGAGTCGCTTCTGCCGGAGTCTGTTGGGTGGAGTGCATCTGCTTTCAGCTGGTTGGTGCTCATTCATCTGCATGTGTCTACTTTCCGTCTTCTGTGTTCTTTTATAGATTACTTATATATTTTGCATTTATATTCTATTTATTTGTATGTATGTGTGTGTGGAGATACATGTGCCACCGTGCACAAGTAGAAACCGGTGCAATTGTTGAAATCCTTGGATTCAGATCAACCATCTTACTTTGCACTTTGTGTTTTTCCCACTGCTCACCTTTCTTCTGTCCCTTCCTCTGACTCTTCCTTCCTTTCTCTATTCTTCCATTCCTTTCTAGTTCATCAGCTTGGAAGTTGTTACAGTTTTGGGTAAAATGTCCCCCACAGGGTTGCATGTTTGAACACCCCATCTGTATTCTGGTGCTGTATTTTGAAGGCTACAAAGCTTCTGGTTCTGCCCTTTGCTTTTTGCTTCCTGGTTGGCCATAGTATGAACAGCAGCAGCTATACATTCCCGTGTCCATGAATGGAGCCACCCCTGGCACTATGATGAACCGAGTCAAAGTAATGGTTCATCCCTTAAGTTGTTTCCGCGAGGCGTCGGTCATAGCACTGCCAAGAGTGCCGAGATCATAGCTGCACAATCTCCTTGTGTTCTTCTAGTAACAACTAACACACTCATGGTTTTTTGTTCAAATTTCAAATAGCCATTATGGTGAATACTTGCAATTCTAGCATTTAAGGGGTAGAAGCTGAAGGATTGTGAGCTCAGGGCTAACCCAGACTACATAGTGAAACTCTCTCAGAAAACCCTCATAAAAATCTTTACAATGTTTCATTGTGGTATATATAACACAACCAGTGCTGTTCAACTGTGACTTTCTTTCTTAACGACATTCATCTTTTCAATGTACCTATCCACTGTTTTTAGCACTTTAAATTTTGATATTATTATTTATTTTATGTACATGGTGTTTAGCTGGCTGTATGTCTGTGCCCTGTGTGTGTGTATGGTGCCCAAGGAGGCTAGAAGAGGGTCAGATCCCCTGGAATTGGAATATGGACAGGCTGTGAGCCACCATGTGTGTGCTAGGAATTGAACTCAGGTCCTTTAGAAGAGCAGCCAGTACTTTTAACTAATCGTTTCTCCAGCTTCCCTCACAGGTTCTCCTCAACCCCCTTTGTGACAAAGTTTTACTATGTAGCCCTGGCTAGCTTGGAACTTGCTATGTAGACCATGCTGGCCTTGAACTTACAGAGATCCATTTGCCTTTGTGTCCTAAATTCTGGGATTAAAGGCATGCACCACCATGCCCAGCTATTATAGTGGATGAAACTATACTTTCCACTCACCCCCAACAATAGGTTTGATATCCTTAAAAAAAAAAGTATTGATTATGTATGTAGGGACTTGTTTGGGGGCTCTCTGCTCTGTTCTATTGAGCTGTCCATCTTTTTCTTATGCTGACATCACACTGCTTTGGTTACTGTAGCTTGTAGCAAGTTTTAAAGTCAGGAAATATGAATTAAACTTCTTTATTACACACACACACACACACACACACACATATATGTATATATGCGTGTTATGTGAGAGGGCATTGGATCCCCTGGGACTGTAGTTACAAGCACCATGTGGGTGCTGAGGATCAAACCCAGGTCCTCTGTGAGAGCGACAGTGCTCTTAACCACTAGGCCATTTCTCCAGCCCATGCAATATAAATTTTAACAAATTTTAGGATGGTCCTATCAGCTTTCTGTTACTATAAGAAATACCTCAGGTAATAAACTTAGAAGACAAAAGGTTTATCTTGGCTCCAGTGTCAGAGATTCTGGCCCATGTTTTGGGCCTGTGACAAGGTAGCACATCATGATGGGAGAGTGTTACAAAAGTGTTCATCCCATGGTTACGAAGGAAAAGAGAAAAGAAGAGGAAGGAGTCCATTCCCTTTGAGGGCATGGTCCACACCACCTGATTCTCCATTGAGACCTGTCTTCTACAGGTTCGACCCCTTCCAATAGTACCACAGGCTAGGGAGTAAGTCCTCAACACATGGCCTTTGGAGATAAGCTTTGTTGTTGTTTTTTTAAATCTTTATTTTTAGAGTATTAGCAAAATTAAGTAGAAGGTCCAGATAGTTACCACACACCCATACTTTTACACACACAGCTTCCATCACTGCCAGCATGCCCATCAAAGTTAGACACCTTGCAGCTGATGGACTCACATGGACAACACTTCCTAGAGCCCGCAGTAACCTTAGTGTGGTGTACTCTGTGGGGCCTTTCATACTGGCTTTTTTCACTTAGTAGCGTGTATTAACAGATGAAACATTGTTCACCCCTCACACACCTGTCTCAGTCCCTGAATAAACCCTCTAAGATTAAGCTATGAAAACAGCCACCGTCAGACAGCACATTCTCTGTGTATTTTCCTGGCCCACTAGCTGACTTCTTATTAGTACTTGGTAATGTACAATTTGTCTAGATATGCTGTGGTCCATCCACTCTGCTAACAATATGAATACTTCAGCTTTAAGAATACAAATTGCTTTATGCAGGATTTTGTGTGAATGTAAGCTTTCAAGTTCTTTGAGTAAATATTAAACATGATTTTTGGATCATAGTAGAAGTGTGATTAGTGTTTAAGGAAGCAAAGAACTAGGACTAGATATAGCTTGGTAATATATGTATGGATATAACTTAGTATATATGTATGGATATAACTTAGTATATATGTATGGATATAGCTTAGAGAGCTCAACTAGTTCAGTTGAGGCCCTGGGATCAGTTCCCAGCAACACACACACATGCACACGCACTCGTGCACATGCACGCACACGCACACACACACACACACGCCCCGTCTTCCAAAGTTACTATGATACTGTGCTTCCAACCAGCAGCCAGAACCCCTACTACTCTACGTCCTCATCAATATTTTTTAGTTATTCATGTTCAGGATTTAGGCCAGATCTGATCAGGTATGCAGTGATACTTATTGATTTAATTTTCAGTTTCTTGGTAGTTTTTAATGGTGAACATCTTCTCAGGTGGTTGTTACCTTTTTCTTTGTGGAGGTATCCATGGCTTTTGCGCTCTCTCTCTCTCTCTCTCTCTCTCTCTCTCTCTCTCTCTCCCTCCCTCCCTCCCTCCCTTCCTCCCTCCCTCGCTCCTCTCTCTCCCTCTCTCCCTCCTCTCATTCATTCATTCATTCATTCATCCATCCATTCATTCATTCATGGTTTCTCTGTGCAGCCTTGGCCATCCTGGAACCAATCTGTGGACCAGGCTGGCCTAGAACTCAGAGATCCACCTGCCTCTGCCTCCCAAGTGCTGGGTTTAAAGGTGTGCGCCACCACCCGGCTGTATTTTGCTATTTTCAACATTGATGTCTTCTAGTTGAGCTTTCGGAGTTCATGGTAGAGCTAGCAGGATGGCTGCACAGGCATACTTATTTACTTTTCTTTTGCTGTGATAAGACACTGTGACCAAGGCAGTTTAAAAAAAAAAAGACTCTGTTTTTGCTTGTGGTTCCAGAGGGATAAGAGTCCGTCATGGTTGGGACACATGGCAACAAGCGACAGGCATGGCTGCAGGGACAGGAGGCTGAGAGCTCACACCTTCAAAGGCAAGCATGAAGCAGAGAGAGCAAAGTGGAGGTAGGGTGAGGATGTACCTCTCAAAGCCGCCTCTCACCGCCATATCTCCTCCAGCCAGGTGGCACTTCCTAAATGTCCCCCAGAGCACCAACAGCTGAGACCGGGTGCCCAGTGCCTGATCCTATGGGGTCATTGCGTATTCAAAGTACCACAGGTGAAGGTGCTTGCTGCCAGGCCTGACGATCTGAGTGCTATCCTTGGGATTCACATGCTGAGGGAGAGAAACAATCCAACTTGTACGTGGGCATCATGCCCTATGTATACAAAGTAACTAAAAGTGTAATAAAAAAGATTATTTATTTTAGTTAATAGTTCATTATCAGATATATCTTCTGTAAATATTTTTCCTAGTCTGTGGCTTTTTTCCTCACTCTTTGTACACTGTCTTTCTCAGACTAGAAGTTCTTAATTTTGATATTACATTATCCTTATTGCTTTCAAGGGTTTGCTTTTGATGTTGAATCCCAAAAATCCATTGTCATACCAGAGTTCACCTCAGTTTCCTCCCATGCCGTCTTCTAGAAGTTTTTGTCTTGGCGTGTAGGTCTCCGATCCACTTTGAGTCAATTTTTATGAAGCATGTAAGTCTGTGTAGGTTCATTCTGTTGCATGTGGATGTATGTTCCAGCATGTTTGTTGGAAATGTCCTTTCCCAACTGATCTGCCTCTGCTTTTCAGTCAGAAACCAGTTGCTGGTGCCTGTGTCAGTTTGGAGCTGTCTTCTCTAATGTGGCCTCTTTCTTCTCTCACTGGTTCACAGTCTGATACCTTTGGCTTTGGAGTCCTAAGATCTGGGAGCTCTCTGACTTTGCTTTCCTTCTTCTGTGTTGTATTGGCTTTTCTAAATCCATTAGCTAATCATGTTTTCTGCATTTCAGACTTTTTCCTCAAGAATTTGCCGTTTCCCTGTGTTGTGTTTCCATATGGATCCCTTTGATTCGTTCTGTTGTACTGCACAGGGCTTTCGCTGTCACTGCAGGGGAATCCCCAGCCAGGCTCACCTTAGCTGCTCATCACATCTGCCCCCTTCCTCCCGCTCTCTGTGTTATCTGAGTGGGTGAGCATCCCTCCCCCCTTCTCTCCCTCAGTCATGACTACTCTGCAGTGTATGCCATTGCTACTGCTTGTGTTGCATTCTGGGTGATTTCTTCTGATCTGTTTCAGGCTCATCAATAACTTGTGTTGTAGAGAATACAGTTCTTTCATTGAGTTTTGCCTTTGCTTTTTACTTCTAGAAGTTCTATTTGGTTCTTTTTAAAAAATAATCCATAACATTTAAACTTTTTCTTTTCCTAGCTATCTTTTTTGTTTGTTTGTTTGTTTGTTTGTTTGTTTGAGACAGGGTTTCTCTGTGTAGCCCTGGCTGTCCTGGAACTCATTCTGTAGACCAGGCTGGCCTAGAACTCAGAAATCCACCTGCCTCTGCCTCCCAAGTGCTGAGATTAAAGACATGCACCACCACTGCCTGGCTTTCCTAGCTATCTTAAGCTGGTCATTTTTCCCCTTTTAATTTAAACACAATATGGTTTTATTATCTGGAGCTAATACTTTCTGGCATCTGTTGGCAGTTGTTTCTGCTCATTCTTGCTGAATTTATTCTACTAAAATCTACTGAATTAGCTACAAATATTTATTTTACAAGGATGTTTCTGTGGCCTTGTCAAAAAGCATACTGCCTCCTTTTCTGTTTGGCATGAGACATGGTCTAGGGTTACTTATTAGTAATTGTCATCTACTTTCCCTTCCCTGTAAGAGCTGTCTGTGGCAGCTGTGACCCCTCCTGACTGTGTCATTGGTGAGTTGCAGCTGACCTCTGGGGTAGAAGCAGACCACTGACCACTTGAGCTCTAACTGGGGACAGGCCTGTGCTGCCTTTCTCACTGTGTTCAGGATGCCTACAAAACACTCTTAAGGACCGTGGTCCAGCCCAGGTGGAACCTACAGGAAAATTTATGGGTAAAACTAGGTAATGTCTAGGACTTGACTTGAAATATTTTCAGCCTACCACCCCCTGCATTTAAGAAACAGTTGACAAAAATTGCTAAAGCCACATGGGATTCATTACAAAGTGAAGATTTTTGGACGTGTTCAAAATTTCCTTGAGAAGCTGTTGTGTTTTTGTCTTTTAAAAGTCATCTTCCTCCCCCTCCGTCTCTGATCCCACAGGCTGATGTGATGGCAGACAAGGTGCCCCGCTGCCCCATCTGTACTGGCATTGTGAAACCTGACATTGTGTTCTTTGGGGAGCAGCTGCCTGCAAGGTTCTTACTACATACGGCTGACTTCGCTTTGGCAGATCTGCTACTCATTCTTGGGACCTCCCTGGAGGTTTGTTAAAAGGCATGTGGGGATGGAGTGGGGGATGGAATGGAGGGCTTGGGCCTAGTTGATGGTGCCACCTTTTCAGGTGAGTAGAGTCACTGGTAGTGACACTTGGGGTTTGAGAGCAATGGCTGTGTAGGAGGACATAAGGGTGTAGTGAAAGGTTAGCTGTGAGGCAGGGCTAAAAGGACTGATCTAGGCACAGAGTTGTACTATGGGCTAAAGAGCAGATGGCAGTCCTGAAGTCACCTTTGATGGGAAAAGGTTGGCTGCAGCATCAGCAGTTATCTGGTAGGGGACCAGTGGGGTTGGGGTCTGCATGTGGGTATGTTTGTGGCTCTGTGTGGAGATGACCACTGGAGGGGTACAAGCTTTTAATCTGCATCTGAGTCTGAATGCCAGAGAGTTTCCAAAGGTGTAAAGAGGTAAGACCATGGGCTTGAGCCCATCTGTGTGAAGATATAGGATCAGAAGGTCCAAAAAGCTCTGTTTAGGAGGCCAGATATGCAGAGGCTGAGGCCAAGGTCTGCAGTCAGCCTGTCACTGTTACTGCATGATGTGAACCAGGCCAGTCTGGTGCTTTATACCACTAAAGTGAGATTCAAAACTAAGGCACCATTAAGGGTGGTGTGTATGGAAGGAGAGTATCAGAGTGAATGAATATTGTTGCCTGGGCTGTGGAGGGGTGACATTGCAATGCAAATGTTTAGTGTGAGCCTTGTCAGTAGGTCTCAATTAAAAGGTAAGGCTTTTGGCCTAAGGTTCAGTGGGGCACAGTGGCCAGCCGTGAGGCCATGGAGATGACCACTGGCTTCAAGTGTGATGCTCTGGCTTTCTGCTGAAAAGGCTCTGGTGGGCTGTGCTGTCAATTGGCCAGGACAGGACTCAGCAAAGGCCCTTGCTGCTGGGGTCGGATAGTTCTGGTAGATAGTTAGGTAAACCAGCAGGGGCCCAGGACTGTGGGTGTAAAGAGAGGGCACTATGCCATGTGGGACATGGAAGTGAGCTATCACAGGACTAGGATGTGCCCTGTTCCCATTGCGTGGGTTTGAGGACACCAGCTTAGGCACATACCTTACAAAGGTATCTGGTAGCAAAGGTATAATACCTTGTAAAAAGGTATAATACCTTATAAAAGTATAAGGTAGCGAAATGTATGTGTGGGAAGTAGAGTCAGGAGGAACCTGAGGAAGGAACTGGGTGAAAGGTGAGCAAGTAGAAGATTCCAGAGTTCTGTCATAGATACAGGTTTGGAAGAAAGGATAGACTTGAGTTGGGGTAGAGGGGCAGTCAGGGACCAAAGGGTTAGGCCCTCTGGTCTGTGGTACTCAGTATATGGGTCCAGTTCTTCTGATTATGGCAGCTATCAGATAAGGACACTGAGACTATCAGTTACCTTTATTTTTGAAGTAAAATGAAAATATCCATTTCTCCTTGCTTATAAATGTACCATCTGACTTTTTATTTGTTTTGAGGCAGGGTCTTTCTACATAGCCTGTCTATCCTGGGACTCACTATATAGACCATGCTGGCCTTGAACTTACAGACATTCCCTGTCTCTGCATTCAGAGTGCTGGGATGAAAGATGTGTACCACCACTGCCTAACAGCCATATGCTTCTTTCTACTCATTTATGCCAGGTGGTAGTGGCACACACCTTTAACACCTGCACTTGGGAGGCAGGACAGCCAGGACTATACAAAGAAACATGTCTCGAAAAACCAACCAACCAACCAACCAACCAACCAACCAACCAACCAACCAACCAAATGACTCATTTACAACAGCAGAGGCAAAGTGAAGAATCAACTTTATTTTCTTTTAATTTTTATTATCTTATTCTATATATGTGGGTGTTCTGTCTACATGTATTTTTAATGCCTGTGGAAACCAGAAGAGGTCATGTGATCCCCAGGAACTAGACTTAGAGGTAGCTGTGAGCTGCCATGTAGGTGCTGGATTCAAAGCTAGTTTCTCTGGAAGAGCAGCTTAACCTCTGAGCCATCATCTCTCCAGACCCAAGACTCAGCTTTAAAGACCAGTAGCTACTAGTATTTTGGCCTATGCCTTCATGGGTGTCTTTTTTTGGGAACAAATGGCCAGAAGCTGTACACTGGGTTGTGGGTGGTGTGAGCATCCACCTGGAGCAGCCTTGCCGGTGCCCTGCTAGTGCTGTGGCCTGTGAATGTGGGTGCTGGGAACCAAACCCAGCAGCAAGTGCTCTTAACTGCTGACACATCTTTCTAGCTCCTTATTTAATTTTGGGAGATGAGGGTCTCAAGTAGCCCTGGATGGCCTTAAACTTGCTGTGTAGCTGAGGATGACCTTAAACATCGGACCTGTCCGTCTCCATCTCTGACTACTGGGGTTATAGGCGTATAGGATCAGACTTGCTCCACAGTGTTTTGCTCACATTTAAATCCATAATCCCATTTCAGGGTTCCATAGTGAAAGGTAAGAACTGACCTTTCCCTTTTAGATAAGAGCAGGCTTGATATCACCCCTTAATGGACTCATTTCCCAAAGCTAGTCTTGGTGCAGAAATAGGACACTGATGGGGGTCCAGGAGGTGGAACAGTAGCAGGATGGTAAAGGGTGCTTGGTCTTCTATGTCAGGCAGGTATAGGGGAGGCTGAGAGCAGGGCTCAGGCTGTAGAGTGGACAGAGCAGGTAGGACAATGCTTGCAGGTGGCACATGCAGGCAGAGTGGAAGGATGGATTATGGGGAGAAGTCAGGGTTTGTGTTGGCCCACCAAGCAGGAGAGGGCATAGATGGGAAAGATCACCCAGACCGGTGGTCAAAGCCTTCAGAACTAAATGGTGGGCTCTTTGTGTCACAGTGTCAGCCATAACTCCTGTTCCAAGGCCTCAGTGTCTGTAGTCCTCAATGTCTTGATGTGCATGGACACCCTGCCCTTCACATTGGGTTATCTTTCAGGTGGAGCCTTTTGCCAGCTTGTCTGAAGAAGTACAGAAATCAGTGCCCCGACTGCTCATCAATCGTGACTTGGTGGGGCCATTTGCTCTGAGTCCTCGAAGGAAAGATGTGGTCCAGCTAGGGGATGTAGTTCATGGTGTGGAAAGGCTGGTGGACCTCCTGGGGTGGACACAAGAGCTGCAGGATCTCATCCAGCAGGAACATGGAAAGGTACAAATGCTAAGCTCTGGGGCCCAGTCCAGCAGTACATCCTCGGTGCATTGCTCTCTGTGCATTGCTGGCTGTTAGGATGGTGCTCCTACAGACCAGCGTTGCTTTTTGCTTCCTATTCTATAACTCTCTGCTGGGACATGGTTCTGTGACCTCTAGGGGAAGGGGAGGGCTGAGAGGCTGACATTTTCTGCACCCTGCATGGGACAGAGCCATCCAGGGATGGTTTGTTAATCAGTGCCATTATCCATTACAGCCTTTGGGAATAGGAAGCCAGGAACACTATGCGTTCTAGGCTTTACAGTACCTGTGATTCACAGAAAATAATGTCCTATGAGAACCATGTTATATGTGATTATTATAAAAAGGTGCAGCACTGCCCAGAGGATCTCACCAGAATATATCACAGTTGATGTTATGTGGCTCTGGGCCTTGGCCTGTAGTATCACTTTCGCTGGCAAAAAGCTCCCAGCCTCTTGTGTTTAGCCTGAGCTCTTAATGAAATTGGACCAAATTGAAGCACAGCATATTAAGGAGGAGCCTTGGCATTTACTGCTTCCACAGATGAGATGCAACCACTGTAACCACCAGTATCACATCTTTTTGTTCCAATGTTTGGTTCTTAGGGCTGAATACATGCAGGTGCCATTTATTAGGGAACAGTCTTTATTTAGCTGCCTATGTTGAGCTAGGCCTTCTGGGATCCCTTTTCTTATTCATTTCAAAGACAAAAGTTTGTTCCATAAAATATTTTGCTTGACTTCAATGACTGATCCATGTCTGGGATATGCTGGCCTCTCCGGGTGATGTTAACTGACCTCCTGTCTGTTCTAGCTGGATGGACGGGACAGATAAGACTATGGCTTCTTCAGCTGCAGAAAAGTCACACAGGAGATCATCCTATTTCCAGGCAGACCTCTTGCCTGAAGACAGCTCCAACAGGTTTATAAATGTGGGCCAGACCACAACATGTGACCTGGGCAGTGGTCCTGAGGTTGCCTTTGGAAAGGCTGACCAAGGACGCCGACCCTTGGGGCCACTCCATGTGTGCTCCATCCACCTCATCACTGCTGAAGCCTGTAGTGCAGATGCTGCTTTCTGGTAGAGGCCCTTACGGTTATCAAGAGGGCAGTACAGCATGTCCATCACCAGACAGGTGATGCACTAGGGTAATCTAGGGTAACTGATAAAGTGGCATCTTTAAAACATCATTTCTCACATGAAATAAATTTAGTATAAAAACTTAGCATCCTTTCATTTGTCTGTTTGGGATAGTAAGTGTTGACATATTTCAGGTTATGTGGGTGCTCTCCTCTTGGATGACCGGACTGAGCCCATTTGCCCCTCGATTTACCCTGGTGTTAACGCAGGCCCCTCTTCTACAGTCACTCAAGAATACCTCCTCCTTTAGAATCCTCATCTGCCCAGCAATCCCTAAGCTACTTCCCACTACTCGACCCAGGCTTCTTCCAGTAACAATGCTAAAAGCAACGGCAGGCATTAATCTGAAACCCCACTGGGTCTCCCGTTTTCCTGTCCTATGTGCAGTTATGACTAAGCACAGGCTGTTTCCTCCTTGGCTCTTACTCAGAAATGGCTTAGGCTGTTTGCCAGGTAGAAGTACCCCATTACTGTTACAACCCATTCTGACTGTGGCTGACAGTATGGAGCTGACCTAACAAGATTCCAGGGACTGGGGTCTTGTCCTCTATCCTTGTTCTTCAATGAAAGCAGATGTGTGATCTAGGAAATCCTGAATGTTAAATAGAATGAAATAAGTTTCTATTTAATATCCCTTCACCCAGCTACTTCACAGATATACAGTCTTGTCCCAAATTCGTCTTTATTCTGTGCCTCAGAAATCTCAGATTTTACCTGGTCTGACAATTTTTGCCTTCACATAATTACTAAACCAGCGGTTGTGACTGAGTCAGTTGTCACAACCAGGGAGGCTTGGGTATATGGATACTGCAGTAGGTGGCTGAGCCAGGACCAAGAATTTAGAAGAGGCCACTGGCCCAGTGCTCAGTGGGGCCAGGAAGCAGGAACCGTGATGCTTGGTGAGTTTTCTGACATACTTAAAACAATTCCAACAGATTCTAAAATGTTTGAAACACAGCATATGCCCCACATACGGGCTCTGGGCTGGCATGCCAGCACAGTCATGCTTACACTGTGTGCACCCTGCTCCGATACCACCCTCATACATGCATGTTCATTTATGTGCCAGGGCAACTCTGCCCATGGCTGCAGCCACATCCAAGAAACAACTTCACTTGGGGAAATGAAAGGTGGGTTCCCAGTCTTCACAGAGGGTAGGACTACCACAGTCCTAAACACAAGAAACTGGACCAAAGGCAGATGACAGAAATGTGAGGAGTAGAGAGAACGGCTCCCCAGCTGGAGAGGGGTGTGGCTTCTCGAGGCAGCACCCCAGGACATGTCTGGAAGCAGCACCAGTTCTGAAGGGGAGCAAGGTTGCTGCCATCTTCAGTCAGGGTCTGAGTCGGGGTCTGAGGAGAGTTGCCCCTCCATAGTCTCACACATTGCATCTTGCAGAGAAGTGAGGTGACCCCTGGGACTCATCCCCATGGGTTGGATGACTCTGTGCCTGCAGGTAAAACACAGGGTTGTTGGGGAAGGGACCCCGTGTGCAGGGCAGGGGCTTTTGCTCACTTCTTAGCTGCTACTTGGGCTAGGTTAACTATTAACTAGGCTCCAATCCTAACCACCACCTAACTAGCTTTGAGACGTTAGACAGTCCTTCACATTCTTGTCTTTGGACCCTCTCTTTGCCAGAGGGTTACCTCTAGGGCAAGTAATCTCAAATGTCTAATAGAGTCTCACTAGGATCCTAATCTCTAAGCCAGTCTTGTCTCCTTGGGTTCACAGAACAGAATCATCCCCATGTCTTCTAGCTAAAAGCCTTCCTCGTAACACATACCTGGAGAGCTTGTCAAACATGTTCACTAGCTTCATGGCCTCATGTTCCTTCTGCTCCTCTGTCATGCCTTCCATAGGATTAGGCGGCTTCTCCTCCACTCTTCCAGTCACAGGGTTGATGCTACTTCCCAGGAACAGTTCATGGGAAATGGGTTAGTGATGCTGCCATAGGAACAGTGGCACTCGGTGGGGCAGGTAGTCTCCATCTTCAAGCTTAGGGCTGGCTTAACAAGAACTCATCTTCTTGGTTTTGGTGGTGATGGGATTTCAGAAAGGAGATCTCCCTCAAATAACAGCCAGATAACTCTTGCCCAGGACCTCCTGGATCCCAGAGAGCTCACCTGCTGGGCCACAGTACACCCAGGACATAACTTGTCATCAGAACACAAGGTCCTGAATTTAGGTCTTATCTATTCCTTATCCTGTCCTATGTACTACTGGTTCTTGAAGAGGGGGCGGATAGGGGGATGGGGTCGGATAGGGGAATGGGGTTATGAGGGAACTCAAGTGTACATTAGGAATGCATACCTGGCCTTAGCTTCCCTGTACTCCTCTGTGTCCGTGTCCTCATCTTCTGAGTACTGGCCCTCGGGTCGACCCCCAGCCATGAGGCCCCTAGCAGCTAGAAGGCCAGCAGCATTCCCGTAGCCTGTGTACTTGATGAATCGGGGCACTGAAGACCAGGGCAGAGGTCAGTGTGTGAATCCGGCTGAGGCGGGGGAGGCCTGGGGCTTGGGCTCCCCCAACTCACCACTCTCAGAGCATAAGACGAAGAGGAACTCTGCAGCTACTCTCTTCACATCTGTATCCAGGTGCGTCATGAGGCGGACAAGCTTGTTTCGAAGCAGGTCCCCCACCTCAGGCCGAGTCCTCACATCCCTCAGAGGGGGCAGGACCTAGGGAGGCAGCTGTCTCTAAGCATTGGCTTGGAGCAGCCAGGGGCCTATAAAAAGGATGCAGGCCAGAGTCCCCAGCACCATCTCATTTTCCAAGTACCTGGGCCTTCAGGAACTTCCGGGCAGGACGGTGCATGCGGGCACATTCTGTCAACACGCTCAGCACAGGTGCCACACACTCCTTCAGCCTGTGGGTCTGCAGAAGGGCTTCTGTCACTAACAGATGCTCCCCAGGTAAGATGGAGATACACTGCACACTTCACCAGATGGTTCTGACAACCTCTTAGAAAGAGGCCATGCGCCGGGCGGTGGTGGCGCACGCCTTTAATCCCAGCACTTGGGAGGCAGAGACAGGCGGATTTCTGAGTTCGAGGCCAGCCTGGTCTACAGAGTGAGTTCCAGGACAGCCAGGGCTACACACAGAGAAACCCTGTCTCAAAAAACCACAAAAAAAAAAAAAAAAAAAAAAAAAAAGGCCATGCTGCAGTAAGTTAGCTAAGGGTCAAAGGCAGTGCTGCTGGGTGTTTGTTAGCTTACAAAGGTATGGAAACGCTAAGCCAGTCGTGGTGGTATGAGCCTGTAACCCCAGCACTCGGGAGGCAGGCAAATCAGAAGTTCAAGTTCATTCTTGCCTGTCCAGGGTCTATGAAACTCTTAAACAGAAAGTGACGGAAACCAGACCTACTTCTGGAGTGACAGAAAACTCTGTGACTTGAGTCAAACAATTAATTTGCTTCTTTAAAACCAACTGTTACACCTATAAACCAGGGCCATGAACAAAACACAAAGCATTTGAAGCTGTCTGCACACCTGAGGTACACACTAGCCTCAGGAAACAGCAAAGGCAAGTAACAGATTTCCAATTCAAAGTGCCTCACAGACAGCCAACAGTGTACCTGTCCCTTCCCTTCCTTCCCGTTCTCTCCCTGGAGCCTAACACCAGCAGCAACAGGAGCAGGCAGCCACATCTCCTCACCAAGCTCATAGGTGTTAGCACCTTCTGCCCAGCAACATGGCTCCTCAAAGCTAATGAATCTCGGTCTATGGCTCTCAGCTGTGTGAGCTCCACAAGGACAGGCTAGAACACCAGCTCTCTGGATGTCCCCTGGAAACCCATTCAGGAGTCAGATAACTTTTGGTTATGCCTCTTTAAGATGCAGAGGGACAGCTGGGGGTGGGGGTGGTGTCGGTGTGCATCTTTAATCACAGCACTCAGCGGGCAGAGGCAGACAGATCTCTGTGAGTCTGAGGTCAGCCTGGTCTACAGAGTGAGTTCCAGGACAGCCAGGGTTACACAGAGAAATCCTGTCTCGAAAAAACAAAACAGAAAAAATAAAAAATGCAGAGGGACAACTGATGTTGCCTCTAGTTGCCCATGTATAGAAACATTAGGAGCCTGACAGTCACAAGCAGGAACCAAAGGCTTCTGAGAACCACTTAACAGAGCCACAGAAACGTAAAAGATAACGTTCGCCTTAATAGACCCCGAGAAGCTTGCTTTTCTTTGGTAATCAGCAGCAGGAGAGTCCACACATGGTGTATCTGGACTGGCCACCACCTAGCTGCTCCACAATCAGAGGAGTTGTGCAAGACATCAAGCTGAGCTCTACTTGCCAGTACCAATGGTGCAGAAACAGTAGCCACAACTGGTGCCCACGACCCTGGGTGTCCACATAGCAGGTCCCCCTCCTACCTGCTGCAGACGCTTCTCTAGGAAGGCGAGGAGGGCACTGATCACATCCATGTTAACTCCCATAAACTCTAAGGATCCTTCATGTAGCTCGAGGGCAAGGAGGACATCCAAACATTTGAGGGGCAAGTTCCCCAGGAGATTCACCGTGTGGCTGGAGACAGACAGACAGAGGGCTTGACACAGTAACTATATTTAACACAGATACAATCCCTGGCCCTTCTCCTGGGGTACACATATGTGGGCCTGAAGGATAGCACTGAAGACTATAGAGGCAAGGGCAGGTGGTACCCCAACTTAAGTTTGGTGGGGAGACTCTGTAGACCCTCCATTTGTACCATTCTGTCTGAGCTGAGATGCCAAGCAATCTCTCAAAACCAAGATGAGCTGAGGCCCCAGGAAGAGACCACACTGCCTTACAATGCCGTAGCCAACAATGCCTCTACCTGTGGCCCTGTCTCTAAGTTCATAGCTCTTCTCTTAGTCATACCTGAGTTCCCTAGGCTCTCTGCAAACACACTGGTGTCCCATTCCCCTGATGAAGTCATACTCAAAGGTGGGGCCTGGGATCCCAGGTGCTTTAGGGTTAAGGACTTCTGTACCCATACCTAGGCACTCTTGCCTTCCCCAACATAGTAAGCCCCGCCCCTCACCCGTGGAACTCCTCTGTGCGGTCTCCAGCAGCATCGATCATCACACAGTGCCGCAGAAGGGTCCCCAGGTACCGGTAAAGGGCAGCGTCTTCCTAACCAGAGACAGAAAGGGTCTCCTGTGAGAATGAGTCCCTGTCTTTGTGGCCCAAGACTCCATGGAGCTGATCACTAGGCCCTGTCCACAGCACACGTGGTGCTTCTGGCCACCCGAAGCTTTGTGGAGAACACCCATCTCCAACCCCATGCACAACACAACTTAGAAACCTTCCCTGAGTTCCTGCCTACACCGTCCTCCAGGTCTTGCCATATCTGACACCCTGCAACCTGAAGTACAAAGGAAAGCCAAACCACAAAATGTCCCAGCTGAGCGGAGTCCCACCCATGACTTCAGACTACAACCTACCTCATCAACCTCCCTCTTGACAGAGTCAAAGGTGATGTTAAAGAGCACTTTAAGGATCTCCATGGCCCTCTCTGTCTCTTGGGCTGGAAGCATCACCGGAGGGTTTTCTTTGGGGGCCACGCCCAGTGTCAGTTCCAGCGCATCAGTCAGCAGGCGCACACCATGCAGTTCCTGAAACAGTTGCTGGCGCACATCAGTGCGAAGGGCTGTTAGCAGGAAAAGGAGCCTCAAGTCAAAGAACTGGACTTCGTGGGGATAGCTCCTTTTGCGGTACAGTCCCACACGCTCCGCTAGCCTCACCACCAGGCGAGCCTCTGCTGCTAGCATCTGTGCTGCAGGACTGCTGAGCAAAAGGTTACACAGGCATTTGAGAGACTCGAGTAGGACATCCATGTCTGGGGACTGTGGGATGGGCTCCTCTGAGACGGTAATGTCAGCATAGCAGGCTAGTGCATGTAAGCTCTGGCGGCTGGCAAATGAGTCCAGGCAGCTGCGGTCTCGGGATAGGATTCGGATAGTCTGCAGCCAGGTGACACGGTGTTTTGGTGACAAGCCCTGCTCCAGTACGGAGACCAGCAACTTTGCGAGTCTCTGTGGGGAAGAACAAGAGTGGTTGCACTAGGCCCTCTTCTTGGGGCAGCCCATACCTGCCCTAGGAGCCCCTTGGGCTGACACCTACCTTCCTGTCCTCCTGCTGGGCATCATCGAAGGTGAAGCTCTGGGAATGCTGCAGGGAGACCCAGGAGGCTCAGATCCACATGCAGGTAGGACCTGTGCTCCTCGAGCCAGAGCAGCAGGTCTGCTTCTACCTCTGAAGCAGCAGCCGTCGCTCTGAACGTAAGGCAAGGCCCACTCTCGCCTCCCATACACCTGCCCCACCACAGACATCAGAGGCCCAGCCCACCACCCACCGCCGTGCTCACTGCCACACTTGCACGCGCACCCTAGCTGAGTTGCGCGCTCACCACTGCTTCCTCTCTTCCTGAAATTTCCTCGGCAGCCTCTTACCTCCCGGTTGAACGACCGCAGAGCTTCTGTCACCGCATCTTCCTCTCCGGCCTCCAAGGCATCCGCAACTGCCCGGGGCTCCATGGCCCCTGGCACGGGGTGCTGGAAGGATTGGGCTAGGAAGACGCAATCGGCCAAACCGGGGGGGGGGGGGGGGGGGGCTCCGCCCAGGTCCGGAAGCCCAGCGTCCACGCGTGAGGGATGCTGGGAGAGCAGCCGAGCCCAAGGGTGTGTACAGGCGCGGGGCTGGCCTCCGGCTTAAGGTGGATCAACCCGGTTGCGAGCTCTGAGCGGTTTGTCTTGCAGCGGCGATGCTACCTAACCAAGCAGCGTCCTCCTTTTGAGCCCTCCTCTCTAGCCCGAGTGGGGGGCGGGGGGTGGTGATGAGTGGGGTGTGGCTTGGCCCGAGCGTGGACCGTCCTCCTAAAGTCCCCGTACTGTGATAAAAAAGGGAGCGCCGGCTCCTGGACGCTTAGTTGAGGAAGACGACTCTCGCGGTCCAGGCCCTGGAGCTCATCTTCTATGGGGAATAGGGAAAGAGAATTACAGCGACTTGGATGGTCAAAATAATGTACGTGGTTAGCCGGGTATAGTGACGCACGCTTTTTAAAATCCCAGCCCTCGAGAGGCAGAAACGGGCAAACCTATCTAAAAACAATCAAAAGACCAAAGCACCAAAAGAATGTGGTTATCAAAAGAAAAAGAAAACCGCAGAGTGTGTGAGGAAGGATCGGAGAGAAGGAAGTGAAGAACAACCGTGAAAAAGCCACTCCCGCTGGAGAAGCAACGGAGGAGCGGCCAGCCGCGCCGTGTCTGAGGTTAGAAGCGTAGGAATGTTGTGTAGTAGGGAGCCTGGTCTTCACGCCACTTAGCTAAAGGCAGAGTCGGTGCACCCCTCGGTGACACACACAAGTAATGCTCCAGTGGATGATGTCACCTGCTGTGCTACCCGGCGCTTGCCCCTTTTTAGTGTCAGGCTCCAGTGTCTCCTTCACCAGTCTCTTTCGGTTCTGTCTGTCCTCCCTATCCTGTAGTTCTCACACCCAGACTTCGCAGCACCCAAGGTACCCGACTGCTTTACTGAGCCCGTTCCTAGCCTCGCTCCAGATAGGGTCTGTGCTCCTGCCTCGGGTAACACCCACAGCGTGGGACTAATATTGTTGACCAATCCGTGGCCCGAATGCTGGTAGCCCGCCCTTCCCTTATTTACATTCCAGAGAACTACTACTAGTCTGGTTCTTCCGCTTCAGACCCTTCTCCCGGAAGTTATTAGACCTGAGGCGGAACCGGAAGACCCAGGTAGTGGTGCCACGTCTGTCGCTGTGCTGCGGACTCCCTGAGTGGGTCCCTGGAGGACGCGATGGCGGATTGGACTCGAGGTGAGCACACCTGAAGGTAGTAGGGATAGGAGGCAAGGTCTAAGTCTGTAGCCGGAGACATCGCTCGTTTCTCGGTGGAGGGACCTGCATGGGGTGGCGTTTACGTATTCCAGGAAAAACAAGGCCAGATTTCGACTGGCGCTGCCTTGGAACCCAAACCTGCATGACATCAGTTTTGTGTGTGGCTGATGCCAAGAGCTGGAAGCAGAGGGTCCAAGCAGGGTTTTACTAATGAGGGACCCAAGTGCCTCTGTTCACACACACCCTCGGCCCCCGTGCCTGTGTTCAGTGTGACAGTTGTGATACAGATGCTTCGACCATACTAAAGACTGTGCAGTGTTTGGTAGGACACAGCTGGCTGTCTTTAAGAGTCTGGTCACAAGGTGGGTCACATTGAGGCTGGGTTGTTTTTATGCTTCAGACCAGTGTCAGGCACACTTACGGGGTGATTCTCAACTACATACTGTGACAGATTCTTCATGTATAGTCCCTGTCCGTCAGAGTCAGGTTTCCATCGGCACAGTGCTCTGGGTTTTCCAGAGATCCTGTGTGGTTGCAGATGTAACCGTAGAGCGAGGTAGTTTTCTACAATAGAAGACCTTTCTTAAACTTACCTTGGACTTGATTTCCAAGTCATCCTCACACAGCCTTCCAGTCCCCTGCTTGGCTGTTCTGTTTTCTCTATGGTCCCTATAAGAATTTACTGTTTTCCTTTGAGACCTGTCTCCCACACCCATAGATGGTGATTTTAGCTAAGGCAATTTTCATTTTGGTTTAGGAACAGTATACAACAGCGTAGTGTAGATAGGTTGAACCTGCTGGTTCCCCTGCCTATCCTTGCCTGGGCATGCACACGGGTACACACAACCCATACTAAATGATGTGTAGGTGGTCTACCTGTTGGAACATAGGGTGGGACATGCTAAGTTAGCAGACGTATATGGGCGGAATGCCCGTAGATGTCTCACTAGGCCACACTCCACTAGAGTGAGGAGTCAGGCTCCATATTTATGAGTGAATGCTACCCTTCAGCCTCTTTCTCTTGCAGCTCAGAGCTCTGGTGCTGTGGAGGAGATTCTAGACAGAGAGAACAAGCGGATGGCTGACAGCCTGGCCTCCAAGGTTACCAGGCTTAAATCGGTCAGTGGTGGCCCTCTTCCCTTCCATGAGATACTTTGGTGAGTGGGGCTGAGAGGGTAGGAAGGAGGCTGTGTGCTGTCTGTGGGCATGCTGACACGAGAAATACCTGAGGTAATACCTTGACCTTTTTAGCTTTTTCTGGTAATAGATACCTTGCAGAGTCGTAGGTAAAGTCTAGCTGGTCTCAAGGGAAGGTGGGCACTGCACTCTGTGGCCTTGCTTGACTATGCCTTCTGTATCCCAACCAGCTGGCTTTGGACATCGATAGAGACACAGAAGACCAGAACCGATACCTAGATGGCATGGTAAGTGCCTGCAGTCGTTATACTATTGAATTATAGTCAGCTTTGCCTGCATGACATCTGCTCTGCTGTCTCGAACCCTTCAGTGCTAGCGTGGTTGGGCAGTCAAGGGTCCCAACTCTGTGTGATCCTGTTGGGTCTCTCCCGCAGGACTCAGATTTCACAAGTGTGACCGGCCTACTCACAGGGAGTGTGAAACGCTTTTCCACGGTGGCACGGTCTGGGCGAGACAACCGGAAGCTTCTGTGTGGTATGGCTGTGGTCTTAATTGTGGCCTTCTTCATCCTCTCCTACCTCTTGTCGAGGACAAGGACGTGAGCCAATGGGAGCCAAGGGCAGTCAGGCTCTTGTACACCTGCTATTCTGGTTTCCTAAGGACCTGACTACAAAAAAAAAAAATATTCCTTTGAAATTATCATCATGGGTCATTCATCATCTTCCTAAGTCAGGACGACTGCAGCTGCGTCTGTCATAACAAGCTCATATTGGCTTGTCCTGTGTATGAAGGAAGAATAAAAGGCAAAACCCAGTGTTACTCCCTGGTGCTAAAGACACTGGCAGAGCCAGAGCCATGTTGTATAAGAACGAACCAGGTCTATGCAAAGCGTCTGTGAATCCCGAATGTACCCACTGTGGCCAGCAGCCACACTCATCAGCAGCCAGTATCTTAAGGGTCTTCTGTTTTGCCCTAACCTGTTTATGCCTGATTTAAGCCGTGTCTGTGTTCCTGAAGAGTCTGAAGCTGACACCAGAAGGGAATATGGCCCTGAGCCTTTTCCAAATGATGGTCATCAGGATCGGGCTGACAGTGACTCCAGGCTGAGGCTGCTGATTGGGAGTGGACCTGTGCAGGCTGTACCCACCAGTTGCTGGCTCAAGTCAGACCCCAGGGAAGAGGCAAAGCTATGGAGAGAGGAGTGGACTGCAGTCCAGAAGCACTGGACTAAGATCCTTCTGGGCCACAAGACCATGTGTCCAGGAGCACAGATGTGTGTCCTTGGGATGGAAAGTCTTCCCATTGTCAAAGATGTACCCATCCCCAGACAAACAGACTGAGAAGAGTACAAGGTGGCTTTTCAGAACCAGGCAGTGCTGGAGTGGTCTCTCTGCTGGGGATCTTGTGGGGCTGGAGACCACCTATGAAAGCATTTGTGTAGTGGGAACTTTTGCCTTGTACCGAACCTTGCCCTACACTGTAGAGCCAGTCTCCCTCGGTGTGAGAGAGATTGAACCACCCCCTTGTTGTATAACTCCACAGATTTGCCTGCTCCACCAGCCCTCCCTGCTCCCTTGGCGAGCCCCATTTGCACACAAACTGACCTGTGGGGCTGACAGGGCCAGCAATTTATGAGGACCTAGCACTTTTTGTCTTCACATAAAATATCTTTAAGAAATGAGCTATGAAGTCCGGTGCCCTTCTCTGACCTTATTCATGGCTGTGTTCTCGTCTCTTCCCCTTCACGCACTGGCTCACTGTACCTGTGAGGCCATACCATGAGGCTCGTCAGCCCATAACCACTACTGTGTTCTTAGTTAAGCCAGATTTTGCCATACCCTGACCTCTCAGTGCTGGTAGCATGCTGGCAGCAGTGCCTTGCTGTAGCACTAGGTACCCGTCCACTTCTTCCTTCATCGAGTGCTTTTCTCTGAGCGTATTGACATTAGGCTTATTTGGCCGTTGCATCATTGCATCATGTCTGCCTAAGCCCCAAACCTTCTGGAGGGGGAGGGGCCATCCTTTGTTTTGCCTAGTCTCCCCCCGCCCCCCATACAAGGTACGGCTCATGCCACACTGCTGCTCTGTGGCTTAGCTGTTTGCCTACCCCCCCAACCCCACCCCAGGTACAGCTCACTTGACACTGCTGCTCTATGGCTTTGCTGTTTGCCTACCGCCCCCAACCCCACCCCAGGTACAGCTCACTTGACACTGCTGCTCTGTGGCTTTGCTGTTTGCCCCACACACTTCCAGCTGGGCTCTTCTATCTTGTCCCTCATCCTGAGGCCTCCCTTTGTAGGCACTTCATTCTTGTCGCCCAGTGTCTGTGGACCAGGGCTTTGGCTTTGCCTTTGTAACCGAGCAGGGTACTAGCTGCCTGCATCCTTCTTCCATCTAGACCCACAGCAAGCACGTTCATGCTTCAGCTTTGACTCCCTAGAACCGTGAGCTGCCGACTTGGACTTCCTGGGAATGTTGCTAGACCCCAGGTCACTTTAGCTGTTTCGTTTCTGTGAGATAGTGGCTTGCTGTGCATCCCAGGCTGCTCTTGAACTATATGGCCTAGGCTGGGCTCCAGCTGCTGATCCTCTGGCCTCAGGCTCCTAAATGATGGCATTACAGGTGTGTGGATCCACACTTGGCTTACAAAGGCACTTGGAACAGCCAGCGCCTTGTCTTCATGCTGGTGCAAACCAGATCTAACTTTCCGCTTTTGGGGGTAATTTCCTCTAGACCAGTGTCTTTCCCTCTGAGACATCCCCACTGCAACCCCAAACGTGGCTAGTTTCCCCCTCAGGTCTCCACCCTACCCCACCATCCCCATGGCTGTTCTCCAGCTACTTTGAGGATCAGGATTGCAGCTCCTGTTAAATTCAGCTACTGTTCTTCCTTGCATGACTCATGTGAAGGGGGATACCAGCTCCACAGCCACTAGATCAGACCAGCTTCCTGAAGGTCATAACCTTACCCTCCAACTCAGGCTTGTATCCCTAGTGCATGGGTGGGTCCTGAACACCAGCAAGCCAGAAGATGAGTGGGTGACCAGTCTGAGGGGCTGTGAGTGCAAGCGACCAGATTCATCCCGTAGTTCAAGGCCTTGGTAATAAAGACTTGGAGTCAGTGTATTCCTTGTCCTCATTTCCCAGGAATGTGAGTTATTTTGAGCCAATCCTAATCTGTGGCTGGCCTTGGGCACTGAAGTCTACCCTTGCTCATCTTCCAGAGATGCCTTATCTCCCTGGCTTTGGGCAGGACAGCCACAGACCCACCAGCTTCCTTCTGTGTGGCCCTGCTCTGCCAACCTGAGGGTAGGGTGGTGACAGCATTACCTCCTAAGGGCTAGGGGACTAAGGGCCAGATGACTGGGACATGCAGGCTTGTGCAGGTAAAGGCCCCCACCAGGTGTGTTGGATAAGACCACTTGTTTTATACTGACCTGCTGCAAAGTCTTGGTCATACTGCATCCCTGCTTCCTGAAGCTGGGCCTAAGACCCTGAGAACCTCTGCAGACACTGTCCTCAGGCCCAGCCGAGATGCCAGCTTTCCAGCACACATCCTCCTATTGGCTGCGGTGGAAACCCAGCTCCCCTGAGGTTTGTCCGTATATTGCTTGGATGGTTTAGAACTTGAGGCAGCTTGGTGGAAATGGCTATGTTTGCCATGCCCAGGCCTTCCTGGCAGGTAGGCTGGAGTTGTATCCCCCTTGAAAGCTATACTGACATGAGCTGTTGTGAGGTGGTTATAAAACCTTGCACACGTCTGGCTTCTTCACAACACACACACACACACACACACACACACACACACGCGCACACAGCATCAATCAGCGCTTTTGTTGTCCCCCATTTTCAAGCCGTTCTGGATTCCTGGCTGGCAGAGGCAGCCTGGGTGTAGAGAGACCCTGTGAAGGGAAGCTCAGATATCAGGTGGAACTCTGAGCCTTCCAGCCTCTCTAATTTCTCTGTAGGACCTCTAGGCCAGGAAGGCAAAGACAGGGCCTGTCTGGGCAGGCTTTGTCCTTTTCCCAAGATAAACCCTTGCAAATGCAATCTGTGGTTTATTTAATAATTTGGACATGGCAAGAAACAAGATTAACAAACAAGAGATAGCATAGAAAAAAATAACTTGTCAAAACCGTCCAAACTAGCGTGCTCTGTGGTGCAGGGCCAGGCTGGCAGCAGACCCCATTGGTGAAGTGCCCAATCCGTTGCCAGCCCAGCACGTTTCTGTGGGAGGATCGTAGTCACAGGCTGATGGGATGGAGAATGGGCTATTCCACATCGACAACCAGGGGTGTCATGTAGTCAGAATGCTTGATGCCAAAGGTGACGGTCGGGGCACAGGGCTTGTTCAAGGTCACCTAGGAGGAGGAGGACTGTGAGGAGCATTCTCGGCCTAGGGTTGGAGTCAGGAGCTCAGTCCCTCCTGAACTTGAGCCCGAGGTTGCCAGTGTAATGACCAAGTTGTGTTTGGTAACCCTGTTACTGGGGACAGTGGGCTAGTTCCTGGGGATGAAGCTACAGCTCAGGTTTTCTGTAACTGAAAGGTTGCTGTCAGGGTCCCTCACTGCTGCAAATGCACAAGATCCTAAGGGTGCATCCCCCCGCCCCCACCACCACAGACACACTTGTAGAGTGTGTAGGCCTTCCCTATACATATGGGATCATTTCCCCCGACCCCTATCAGACCCCTCTAGTTCCTGAACCTTCTCAGGGCTGTGGGCTCCTGGTCCTGGCTTCAGGGTCTTATCCCCTGGGGGCTCCACCCGGGCAGCCATGGTGTATTGTGGAGCCTTGAACTTGGTCACTTGAACCTCAGTCTGACGGTATGCAGCAGGACCTGGAGTCTGGAAGATGACAAGGGCTCAGACAGGCTTGGCTTTCCCAGGGCATAAGGCCCCAGAGGATAGGGTTAGGTTTGGGACCTTGATTCACCAAAGGCATTCTTAAGCCTGAACAGTGCTCTTCTGTTTACAGGGTAGGATGTTATCAATTTCAGCCTCACTGTCACAGTGACATTCTCAGTGTGCCAATCTTGTGTCCATACCTCATGGGGTATGTGCAAGGCCCCTTTCCCTGTTGAGACACTATCTTCTTTGTCTTGAGGGCAGAGGCCAAGGGCTAGTGAGGTCAACATACTCCTGTAGTACTACTGGGCGTTATATGCCCACTCCAGGAGGTTTGCACTAACCGTTAATACTGGCAGACATTTCTTCCCCTAAGTCTCTCAAGGCTCTTCCCCCACTCTCCCTCGCTTCCATGTCCTCGATCTAAAATTAGTGTTTGCTCTCCAGGCAGTATCCCACAAATACCTTAGCTTGTTCTCAGTGTTATCACAGCTCCCAAGTTGGTCCCCTGGCCCCTCCCACTACCGTTTATAGCCTGAGCATGTGGAAGGCACCCAGAGGTGAAGGGGACCCAAGAGCTTCAACAGGGCAGTTGTTGGCTGGGGATTCATAGGTCTTAGGGAAGAGGGTCAGGAAGGTCATTGGGGCCAGGCTTTGTACTCAGCTGGGGTGACCCTTGCCTTGTGCAGGTCGTCGCTGAAGCTGCCCAGCTTGCTGCGGCCCTTGATGGAGAAGGAGGGCTGGGAGACCTTGCCCACCGTGTGGGGCCCCATCACCACAGGCAGCATGTATGCGGCAGGGCCTGTGGGTGATGGGAGCCTCAGGCTGGGACAGGCCCACCACCTCCTATTTGTGATACCCTCCTTTTGAAGTTCTCTGTTGGGCTATCCTTCCTCCACCCCTGCTGGACTCCCAACTCCATTCCATCAGTTAGTTGACTGGGCTGCAGCAGACCTGGGGTGCTGTCTACTCGGAAGGTCTTAGTCCGGGCAGAAATGGAATGGCTGGGTGCTGAGTCGAACACATGCTTGGTAGATTTCTCTGGAAAGTAATCACCTGGAGAGGAGGGAGGGTGTGCAGGAACAACAAGCATCTGGGGTTCCATATCCCACCCCCCAACACTTGGGTGCCCGTGAAGGATGTCCCAACAGTTAAGACACAAAGCTTCTAGACCCCAACATTGTGGTTGAACAGATTTAGTCAGGGATGTCCACAGTAGAAATACGGGCTCCAGGGCTGTTTTCAAGCAGTGAGCATGAGATCAGGTGTGGGCCTTGTCCCTGGACTCCAGGTAGAGGAGGATTTGGTGGACTTCAGGCTCTGCTGTTCAGGCCTGACAGTGTCTGTTCCCAGAAGCAGGAGAAATGAGGCCATCTGGCCTTCACATAGCTGGACATGCATATTAGGGCCTAGAGCAGAAGGTAAAGGTCACTCACCCGGGCCAGGGGTCAGCAAGGTCTTGGTATGGTAGCGCCCCAGGATGGAGTAGGCAGGGCCAAGGTCCTTGCCAGTCCTCAGGATCTTGGGGTTCACACTGTAGCGGGGCCCTGGGGAGCAATTCTCCGCCAAGAGCATGGGGGCCCCACGGAAGCTGTAGGCCGGTGCTCGAAGTTTGGTGGGTGTGTGCTTCACAAAGCCTGTGGGCACAGGGGCTCAGGGCTGCTGGAGCCAGACATCCTTCTCTCCAATGGGAGTCAAGGATTGAGCCCAGATCCATCCCAGGTCACACCAATCCTGGCTTCTTCCCTTGTCCCCAACAAGCCCCCAGGCCTTAGGCAATCTTACCCGTGGTGGGTGGAATCAGGTACTTGGGTCCAGGACTGCTGTAAAGGGCC